CTCCTCTTCTTTCTTCCTCTCCTCCTCTTCCTTCCCTTTCCCTTCTCTCCTATTTTCTTTCTCTTCTCACTATCAAATCATATCCCCACCCAAATCTGTAGCAGGCATAGCAGGCATCTAGTGTAGCATTTCTTGGGTTCCTTTCAGAAATCAGAGTCAATAAGACAGTTTTGCTTCTATTTGGTTGAGTCTTTATTTGGCACATAATAAAGTCACTATGATTCTGGGAACTCGGTGATAAATTATCCCTTGTGATCACACCGTCCAGGGAACAATTTTTTTTTAAATTTTGTGTTGGGGGGGTTGTATGTGTGTGATGTATGCATGTGTGTGCTCATAAATGTATAGATATGTATACTCAACATATGTGCATATGCACACTGTGTGTACAAGCGGAAGTTAGAGGAGGATGTTGGATATCTTTTATTACTGTCTGCCGTACTGCTTTAAGACAAGGTCTTTCACTGACCCAGAAGCTTGGAAGCTCGCCATTTCCACTAGGCCGGCTGGCCTGTGAGCTCCCAGGATCTGACTGCACACCAAAGTGCTAAGGTAAAAGTGTACCAGCCATGCCCAGCATTTTACAGTGGTACTGAGGATTCCACCGTTTTTCCCCATGCTTGCAAGACAAGGGCTCTTGACCCGTGGAGCTGTCTCTCCAGCCCCTAAACATGATTTTTCTATCTTTTCTTTCTTTCTTTCTTTCTTTCTTTCTTTCTTTCTTTCTTTCTTTCTTTCTTTTTTTTTTTTTTTAAGTAAAAAGTGAATGGGATCACTCAGTACTAAATAAGCTTCAATCTTGAGATAAAACTAGATACTGAATGTAAAAACTTTCATAGAAAATAAGCAAACCCAGTCATCAGGTGGTACTTTTGGAAAACTGAGGCAGAAAGATATTGAGCTCCAGACCAACATGTGCTGCATTGTGGGACTCTGTGTCTAAATAAGTATACAGATAAGTTTTTTTTTGTTTTTGTTTTTCGAGATAGGATTTCTCTGTGTAGCCCTGGCTGTCCTGGAACTCACTCTGTAGACCAGGCTAGCCTCGAACTCTAGAACTCAGAAATCCGCCTGCCTCTGCCTCCCAAGTGCTGGGATTAAAGGCGTGCGCCACCACCGCCCAGCTACAGGTAAGTTTTAAGGAAATAATTGAGAGAGAAAAAAAAAGAGTGAGAAATTTGATTTCCTTGGTGATAGAGCTGAATCTAGTGTCCCCTGCCTGGCTAACCCAAGGGCAGAGTGTAGCATGGGGCTTCCTGACCACTTGATATCATTCATGGTTTTTCTTCTTTTTATAAATTCCCTCATTGTTTCAGTGGCTCTGTAGTTAATTTTTTTCTAATGAGGCGAGGTTAGCTAAAATCATCTGACATAGAAAAGGAGGAGGTAAAGTTAAAAGGGAACCTAATTAGCAAGTTAATTATATCAGGAAAAAGTGCACTGGTTATATAAATAAGCCATTGATGTATGCATGTAGTTGGGCCTTACCTAGGGACTTGTTAAGGTCTAGAGGTCAGAGGAGCTGTGTAATGATGTGTTAGGAAAAAATAATAAGCAAAACATCCCGGGTTAGGAATGGCCGATGAGAGGCTAACAGGGCTGCCTGATTATTAAATCCTGTTGTACGGCTGAAAGGGTTGTTGGAGCTGCTTCAGAGATAGCCACCTCCCTCAAAAGGGGAAGAAAAAAAAAAAAAAAGAAGCAAGCTGGAACCAGAGCCAACAGAACTGCTGATGAGGAAAGTTTAAAAGCCTTACCACAAGGGTCCTTGGACCAAAGAGGTGGCCTGCCGCCGGTAATGTCACTGTCCACTGGCTGGCATCGTCACTATGCTGAGCAGCAAGAAGAAATACATTGTCAATAGCAACTCTGGGATTAAAGCCCAGGTGAGGCTAAGCTCCTGTTTGCCAGTCTTGCGGCGGCGGCCATTACCATCCAAGGCAAGCTGCTTATACCCTCCTTCCCCTCCTGTCCAGCCTTCATCCTTCCCTCTGGCCTGTGGTGAGCTACCCATTTCTACCAGCTTCTTTATTCCCTTGCCTTGGTGTTAGACAGTGCTGAAGTGGAAGAGGAGGGGTGCCTGGAAGAACTCTGGTTTCTGACAAGGTAGGAAAGTTAGGTAAATCTTAGTAAATTCTGCCAATGTTCTGTAGCTCACTGGTCAGATCGTTGTTTTACAGAATGGACTGTGTGAGAGAACAGTATAATGGTACTGATGCAGTCACCAGAGATGCCCCACTTAACTCATGTTTGGTTATCAGGGAAAAGTAAACACTCGTTATTGGGAAATTGTATAACTTACTATATTAAGTGGTTTCTCATTAATATTCTTGTATATTATAAAGATGAAGGGGGCTTGAATTTAGTGAGAACTTAAGAGCCATTCTCAGCCTGTTTCCTTAGAAAGAGCCAACATCAGCGCAGGGACAACTGAAAGACTATAGGACAAGGAGCTCAGCCTCATGACACTACCTTGCAGTGACAGTGCATCTGGGTCTCTGCATGACAGTGTTACTAAGCTAAATAGGGGCAACTCAGAGGGAGTGACTGGCCCCCTCTAGTGGTCAGTATGTACACATGCCTGTCTGTGTGCACACACATGTGGCTATTATGGCTATATTATACTAGTGTATATGGTTGGAATAGGAAGGCAGTGTTGCATATCTGAGGTAAGATTTATCTTTTAAGCATTTTTTTTAATAAAAAAGGGACACTCTACTGAGGATATGACTTTATTGTGTTCTTTTGAAACGTGTTCATTCCTTTTCCTTGATGGGTCTCTGAGAAAGAATGAAGGCATGTGATTATCTTGAACCACTTCAGTAACCTGACCTGAGTTCTGTGCACCTTCTACCTTCCCCTTGCCTGTTTTATCAACCCTTAAAAAGTACTTCATGCAGACTTAATGCTTACTATGCTTATTAATATTCCGTCAAATACAGACAATGAAGATAGAATAAACTCCAGGGTTCTTGATTCAGCACATGATTGGATGCCTAGGATATGACAGGTACCCATCTGTGCCCAGAATTTAAGGGTTAATTAAAAATCAGGCCAAATGGAGCCTATAATTCATAGAGAGTACAGAAAGGAAGGCATTATGTCAAATGCTGTGCTAGAAGTACATAAAGATTCATGGGCCTCCTGTTGGAGTACATAGAAAAGGCACTTTATCCTTTTTGGAGTAAATCGGTACCTTAGCAAAATAATCAGACTTGTCACTTTCCATTCTGCAATGAGCACCTAATACAATGAATAGCTCTGTTACTAAAAACAATTTGTGAACTCTCAAGCACTGTGCAGTCTTTGTTGTTGTTATTGTTGTTGTTACAGCTATGGAAATGCCAGGAATTCCCTGAGGTATGAGTGCTTTCATTTTGGCATTAGTCCCCTTGTCTCAGTGCTCAGTCCCTGATTTCATTCTGACTTCTGCCCATGGAGAATCCATCTGTTTATCATTAAAGGTAGAATCAGTTGTCAGATCTTTAATTCTTTTCTGTAAACTTTTGTCTATACCTCTAATCATCTAAACAATTGCCTAAATGTTTGGTTAGGAGAAACTTATTAATAAAATAAGAGGTAGGAGCTTTGATCAGTAAAGCACCAGCAGCAACCTTCAGCTGTAGGAGACATAGGTAAAATTAACAAGAAAGTCACTATTAGGTACTTCAACTATAACTGCAGAGTGTAATTTGAGTATGCAATCAGTCCAGTTGTTTACTCCTTCTACATCTGTAGCCATGGCAAATAATCAAGCATTTGGCTTTTTAAAATATTTTATGATATTAAACATTAAAAATTAACTTATTTACTACTATCTAAAAAGCTAACACATTTTAGAAAATCTTAAGCAAATTGCAGTGGTTGCCTGCTGTAGGTGGGAGGAATTAACCCTCTCTAAAAGCTGTAGTGGAAGTGCTTTTATTTCTGTTGTTCTTATGCGAAAATTAGATTCACAAAATCATCCTGACCAGCATCACAAAGCGTATGAATGGCACAGCCGAGATTTCAGTGAAATGTAGAATGTTCTGTCGGAATGAAAAACCTTCCTCAAAATTAGCATGCCATACTGAGGAGCTCACAGCTTCAGGCAAGGGTCTCTTTGTACCCTGCTGTTTTTTCATCTAGACATATTGGTGTACAGGGAATTGCAGAGATTTCTTTGTCCAGCTTGCATTTTCAGTGAAACAATAGAAAGTGTTTCTAAATATGACTTACTTTCCTAAAAATTTATTAATCATAATACTGCTCTCTGTGTCACAGTTATAATATACACAGCATATAAGCTCTCTAAGTAGTTGAACATGACGTTGAAGTTCAGAGTCTCCTGCCTCTACCTCCAGAGTGCTGGGATTACAGGGTGCGCCACCACTCCCAGTTTATGTGGTGCTAGGGACTATACCAAGAGTTTAGTGCATACAAGGAAAGCATACTATCTACTGAGCCATATCCTCAGCCCCAAAGAGTTGTCCTATTCAAACATGGGTTTGTTCAAGCAAATAAACTGCATGGGAAGGTAACAATCTGTGATAATGCACTCTGTGAATGAATTGCTTCCTCAAAATACAGGTGTGTTTTCTTCATATAAGGTGTTGGTTTGAATGAGAATAGCCTTGAAAGGCTTAGTCAACAGGGAGTGGCACTATTTGAGAAGGATTAGGAGGTGTGGCCTTGCTGGAGGAAGTATGTCACTGTAGGTGAACTTTGAGGTTTCAAAACCCCATTCCAAGGTTTCAAAAACCTGTTCTCTCTTTTTTTAGTCCTATGAATCCAGATGTAGCCCTCAGCTAATACTCCAGTGCCTACCTGCATGCTGCCATGCTCCCCTGTATGATAATGAACTAAACCTCTGACACTGAAAGCAAGCCCCCAATTAAATGCTTTCTTTGATAAGAGTTGTCTTGGCATTGGCCATGGTGTCTCTTCATAGCAACAGAGCAGTGACTAAGATATATAACTAGAGTTCTTTTTCTCTCTACAATGAGGGTTCTTTTTCTTAGCAGATTCAGTTTGCTGACCAGAAGCAAGAATTCAACAAACGTCCCACCAAAATTGGCCGTCGCTCTTTGTCTCGGTCCATCTCTCAGTCATCTACTGACAGCTATAGCTCAGGTGAGTACTAAGCTGCTATAGACCCACCTGTCAAAATTAATTGGTATCTGCAGCAGACCTTCCAGCTACCCAAGACCAATCCTTTTTTTTTCCTTTTTCTTTTTGTTTGTTTTTGTTTTTCAAGACAGGATTTCTCTGTGCAGCCCTGGCTGTCCTGAATCTCACTCTGTAGACCAGGCTGGCCTCGAACTCAGAAATCCGCCTGCCTCTGCCTCCCAAGTGCTGAGATTAAAGGCGTGCACCACCACTGCCCAACAAGACCAATCATTCTTGATAAATAAACTTGAAAAAAATATTTGAAATTAAAATTTAAACCAAAATTCTAGATAGAATCTCTGAATTTAATCTCTGGATTTCGTGGGACCTTGGAGTAGAGTTTTATTGAGGCCTCAGTCTCTGACAGAGGCAGACTAGGATGAGGAAGAAAAGTGAGCTCTTTGATTTACTCAGGGGCAAGTAGTTTACAGTGGCCTCTATTCAATGACATGTACAAAGACATACATTTTTTTTCATTCTTTAAGTGGGGGACGGGGAATCTTGTCCCTCTAGATGGTACTTACAGAGTAAGTAGCAGGACTAGGGACCCATCCCAGGGCTTTGTGCATACTAAGAAAGCACTCCATACTTCAGCTATACATCCAACTTCTTTTACAGTGAAAGGTGGGGACAGGGTCTCAGCTCCCCTGTGTCGTACAGGTCCCTATGTAGTTAAAGATGATTTTGAAGTTCTAATTCTCTTAATTACCCACAAGAAACAAGATGCTGTAGTTATTTGATGTAAATGGGTGCTTTGCCTTCTCCTCAAAGCTGTGACATCATCACATTACTTATTACTCCTTCCTTCTTTTATAGGGCTAAGTTATCACTTAATGTCCCATGAGATACAGCGTTGTAGGGCCCCTGAGAGCAATAGCTGTTAGCAAACACAGTAAGAGTCTGATCTAATGCGAGGCTATTTTACTTTGTCCTTCCTGTTAGAAAGTGATGGGGATCCAGGAGTTTGCCCTGCTTACCTCTTAAACATTATAATAGTAATACTCAGTAGAAAATGTTTGTTTGTTTTTTATTTTTTTGTTTTTTCCAGACAGAGTTTCTCTGTATAACCCTGGTCGTTCTGGACTTACTCTGTAGACCAGGCTGGCCTTGAACTGTTAGAGATTCGCCCATCTCTGCCTTCCAAGTGCTGGAATTAAAGATGTGTACCACCACAACCTGCTAGAAAACTTTTTTTTTTTAAAAGATTTATTTATTTATTATGTATGCAGCAGTCTCCTGCATGTATGCTTGAAGACCAGAAGAGGGCACCAGATCTCATTAAAGATAGTTATGAGCCACCATGTGGTTGCTGGGAATTGAACTCAGGACCTCTGGAAGAGCAACCAGTATTCTTAATCTCTGAGCCATCTCTCCAGCCCCCCTCCCCCTTTTTAAGGTTTATTTATTGATCTTATGTATATGAGTACACTGTAGCTGTCTTCAGACACACCAGAAGAGGCCATCAGATTCCATTACAGATAGATGGTTGTGAGCTACTATGTGGTTGCTGGGAATTGAACTCAGGACCTCTGAAAGAGCAGTCAGTGCTCTTAACCACTGAACCATCTCTCCAGAAAAACTTTTATTGTGTCTAAAATTGTATTCATTTTCCACATAACTAAAAAAGGAATTCTTATTATGTACAGTTAATGAATGGTTGGTTGGGAAACATAGCTTTTTGGTTGGGTAGGTTGTTATTACACATTATTTACATGTCTGTGTTTATTTTCTATAATTGGAAATGAGGAACACTGTGTAATATTAATGTCTATGGCTTTTATCTAAAGATGGGGAAATTGGGTCTCATTTTATTCTACTGAAGTAACTGTTGAAAATTTATGAACTGGATGATTGAACTCTAGAAGCCATAATGTGAGAATGAATTGTCGAATAGTCTGTAACATTTTAAGATATGTGTTTGGCCTGTTGTCTAAAGATCAGTACTAAATAATAATGATTTAAAATTTTGACTCAAGCCTAGTCTTTTCCCTGCACAGCCAGAGCCATACATCTGTGTTCTTGAGACCAATGCCTACCTTCCCACCCAAGCACCTCATGTCGGGAGGATACTTTAAAAACACTATGCCTAGAGGAATGTGGGCGATCCCTTGGTCTCCAAGTAAGCCTGCAGTGCTTGTATATAGCTCATTGATTAATAATGGTAACTGGTCTCATCCTGAGAAGTCTAGAAGTTTATAGATTGAACTATATGAAATTGCCATCTGTGCTAGCTAAATTTATGTCAACTTGTCACAGGCTAGAATCATCAGAGGAGGGAACCACAGTTGAGAAAATGTCTCCATAAGATAGGACAGTAGGCAAGTCTGTAGGACATTTTTTAAATTAATGATTGATGTGAGAGGGCTCAGCTCATTTATGGCTGGGGCTATCCCTGGGCTGGTGGTCCTGGGTGTAGAAGAAAGGAAGCCATAGCAGAACCCTTTCCTCTCCGACTTGGTTTTTTTTTTGTTTTGTTTTGTTTTTGTTTTTGGAGACAGGGTTTCTCTGTGTAGCCTGAGCTGTCCTGGAACTCACTCTGTGGACCAGGCTGGCCTCGAACTCTCGAACTCAGAAATCCGCCTGCCTCTGCCTCCCAAGTGCTGGGATTAAAGGTGTGCGCCACCACCGCCCGGCTCCAACTTGGTTTTAATCGTGGTGTTTCATCTCAGCAATAGTGACCCTAAGACACCATCTTTACTTTTTAAAATCATCACATGTTTGTTTTATGCCCCATACATGCAGGTACAAATACAAATCCATATTCCATGAGCATGAGCCTTGCTTGTCTCTATCTCAGGTGTGTCTGTATCACAGGTGTGTGTCTTAACACAGCAACAGTATTTGGATTATAGCAGATGCTAATATTTGCTGTAAGGTTGAGAAAACTGAGGAAAGAGATGACTCTTGTAACCCAATCTACATTACTCTAATCTTCAGTCCACAATGAGAAGAACATTGTACAGAGAGGATCTCCTGTCAGAACGAGTGTCTGCACAGCAGGCTTATGCTGGGGAAACAAAGCTGTCAGCCTGATGTAGCCACTGAAGGATAGTAAATCCAGGAGCAGGGGAATCACAACACTTGGTTTTGGAGCAAAAAGTAGAGCTATCTGGTGGATGTTGAACTTGTCATCTGTGTGACAGTAGCATCCATGGCAAATGTCCATCTGGCCTCATAAAGAGCATTTAAATGACAGGGTCACCTGGCTTATCTGCTTATTTATTTCTTGGTCAGTTTAAGCCCTTACATAATCTCTAGTACTTCAATATTTTGCTTAGAAACAAAATTCAACATTTTTATTCCCTATCTTTTTAGGATAGTACTAACCTGGGTATGCTCATCTGGATACATTCTAGATTGTTTTCAAAATATTGTCTATACATGTCTATTCATGATATTTTCTGGCATAATCTCTAGGAAGTATTATTTCCATGAGCTCAGTACTTTTCATTTATTTATCGTTAATTTTTTTTGAGGCAGTCTCTCTACATGCCTTGCTGTCTTAGAACTTGTTATATATACAAGACTTTCTTCAAGCTCCAAGAGATCTGCCCATCTTTGCCTTCTGGTAGCATTTTTTAATATAAGACTCTTTTCCTAAGCAATAAACCTTAGAAGCAAATGAACAAAATAACCTTTTCTTCATTTTTAGATCAAGATCAGCATTAACATTTATGAAAATGTTACCTTTACAATGAGTGAATTGGTTACAGATGAGAAAGAACTGAGTACTTTACTTTTCAGATGAGAAAGAGTGAAGTACTTTACTTTTAATTAGCACTTAGAAATTTTGAGAGACTTTTAGATTTTTTTTTTCAAATTTTGTTTGTTTGCATTGGGCAGCTAACATAACTTCTCACATACTACTGGAGTCATTCATTAGTACAATCCATTCACAGTCAAACATGGGTCCCTACTGTTATTTCCACTAACATGTAAATAGATTGGGCCCAAGGGGAGCTGTCTGGTTGTAATTAATTTAATAGGACTAATTCAATCAGAATTCTGACTGCTAGCTTCCTAACAAGCTCCCACAGTCTCACAGGTGCTCGGAGATAACAAGAAATCAGTCGCAGCTGGGGCTGTGTGTATACGTGTGTGTGTGTGTGTGTGTGTGTGCGCGCGCGCGCGCGTGTGCATGCGCGCATATGCATATGCATATGCGTGAGCCTGTGCGTGTACATGTGTGCATGTGTGCAATGGGATGAGCTATGGATTAGTGATTCATCAAGTTATGCTTTGGTTCTTGTTTTTTTGTTTTCTTATTTTTGACTTTTTGAGATAGGGTTTCTCTGTGTAGCTCTGGCTGTCCTGGAACTCACTCTGTAGACCAGGCTGGCCTCGAACTCAGAAATCCGCCTGCCTCTGACTCCCGAGTGCTGGGACTAAAGGCGTGTGCCACTACTGCCCGGCAGTTCTTGAAAATCAAAGGAGAACATTCCATTGTAAAATTTATTGTACTTTATAGATTGTAATCTCTTCTGCCTAAACACTGAAACATTTTAGATATTATCTCATTTCCCTGTAAGATTTTTTTACTAGTGGTAGTTTAGAGAAAGGGTGAGCCTATGGAGGAGGGTATCTATTATATCCCCGGTTTTACATTAGGGTAACTGAAACTTGGTCATTCAGTGACTTGGGGATGAAGCTAGACCCTCCAGTAGGTAATGGATTTCTTCCTTTTTGAAAGGCAGCTGTGCTCAGCCCTGTACCACCAACACTGCACCACTGTTCACTGTCAGTGACTGAGCTGCAGAATATGCTGATAATTACAGATATTTTTAGAAGCTTCAAAATGCAGTAGCAGGCAAATTGAAGGCCAGTCTGTGCCACATAGAGAGTTCCAGGTCAATCTGGACAGCATAGCATGAATTATCAAAAAAAAAAGTAAAAGTGGCAAGCATGAGTGTGTTCAAAACTAAATGGATCCATGCCATATTAGGTGAATAAAATTTCTACCATGTTCACAAAAATTCTTCTCTTGGTCTGGGCCCGACACTGTTGCAGCCACATACTACAGCCGTGTAGATACTTGCCGCCTTTTGTACTTGCCAACCATAGCTCTGGATAAAAGGCTTTGGAAAAAACCCTTTGAGGGAAAAAAGCATACCCAACTAGTGTTAAGGTGAAGCCGGATGGCTCATGGTGGCACACATGCCACCAGCACCTGAAGGCAGAGGCAGGCCAAGCTTTGTGAGCTTGAGACCAACAGTCTACATAGCAAGCTCTAAGAGAGCTATGGCTGCATAGTGAGACTGTTTAAAAAGAAAGTCAAATATTAGTTTTCTCAGCTTTAAAATAAGGAAATGATGTAACCATTTTATTCTTTAAATTGGAAACAAAAGATCAACAACAGAAACTGGAGACAAGGTGTTGTGGTACTCATCTTTAATCCCAGCCTGGGAGACAGAGGCAGGAAAGTGTGGCACTCATCTTTAATCCCAGCCTTGGGAGACAGAGGCAGGAAAGTGTGGCACTCATCTTTAATCCCAGCCTTGGGAGACAGAGGCAGGAAAGTCTCTGTTAGTGTAAGGTCAGCCTGGTGTGCATAGCTAGTTCCAGGATTGCCAGGGGTACACACAGAGATCCTGTTTAAAAACCAAACAAAACAGAACAAAACATGAAACAGTTAAAATTGGAGTGCTTCTCTTAAAAGAGTATTGCTTTTTTTGTTGTTGTTGTTTCAGTTTGCTTTCTTCCCACTCCTGATTCATCCTTGAGAGCTGAAGAGGTTTAGGAAGGGGGAACTATTCTGGGTTAGAGGAAGGGCTCCAATCTCACATCACTTCCCAAGAGCTGGGATTAAAGGTGTCCACCATCACACCTGGCTGTACTATTTTCTTTATTTTTCAGACTTTGAGACATGGTTCCATCTGTAGCCCAAGCTGGCCTTGAACTCCCGATCCTCCTGCTCTGTAACCTGAGTGCATGCCTTCCTTGCCTTGCTGATCAGTGTTTGCTCCTAGTGGCACAAAATCCATCATGATTCTAGAAAAAAGATTTGAAACTTCAAATTATTCTAATTTTAAACCCTTTTAAATTGTTTCCTCATAAATTTGGATCAGGATTGGGGAAGCTGTTATCATTTTTCTCTCATGATCCCCTAACCCTGTCATTCCTATATCAGAGTATTGACTGATGAAACAGACAATGTCCAGAAAGCTATTTCTGGCTCTGTTGCCAAAAGTACTTTGAGCTCTCTTACCCTAGGAGAGGAACCAAAAAGTTTTTGTACAGATTAGTTCCTTGTAAGAACAAAAGTCCTTTTGGGGGTTTATTAATTCCTTTGCCTCCCCTAGTGCACACATTCATTCCTGTGACCTCATGTTAGGACTTTGCTCTAAGGCAATTTTCCAGATCAAGAGAGATCCTCAAGCCCCTGCTGACCCCACAGTGTGCAGTACTATGCCTGATTAGCTGGGCAAGGTTGGACTTGCCTTTTACAGTCTACCTTCCAACCCCTACCCAGACAGTCCCTGTGCTAAGAAATCCCAGAAATGCTTTAATGCTCTAGATGTAAGTAGATCAGAACACCAGGCCCTCAGGAACTCTGAGCTTCTGCAGCTTTCTTCCCCTTAAAGTTATGGCATTGCTAACTGCACTAAGAGATGTAAACATTCTGTAGACCATGTTTTATATCCTCTATTCTCCCCAAAACTGCCAGGATTAGAAAGAACTACCTTCTAGTACAAAGATCAAGAAAGAAATAGCTTCAGATCATCTAGCAAATGATTAGCAAATATGAAGACTAAGACAACCTTGACTAAGGCTGTGTGAATTAAGTGTCAGTAACTGTCTGTTGGCCACAATCAAGTGTGGCCCTTTCACCCTTTAGTGCAGTAGTTCTCAACCTGTGGGTCAAGACCTCTTTGGAGGTCAAACAACTCTTTCACTGGGTTCACCTGATACCATTGAAAAGATCAGATATTTACATTATAATTCATAACAGTGAAGTAGCAATGAAATAATTTTATGGTTGGGGTTCTCCACAACATGAGGGACTGTATTAAAGGGCTGCAGCATTAGGAAGGGTGAGAACCGCTGCTCTGGTATATATTGCTAGTTGGTTAGTCACCAGAGCATTGAGCGTGCCAAAAGCGGGTATTTTCCTTCTTTCTTACAGAGGCCAGTAAGGAGGATAACACAATGAATAGTTCATTTTCAGGGTCTAATTGGGTCTTCAAGAATAGTTCTGTCTCCTCAGAGCCAGTCCTAAGAAGCACAGCTTTGTTATGTCAGACAAACTCCTTCTGTGTAGTTCTTAATTACTTTTCCATGAGTTCCTTGTTTGTTAGGTTTTATCTGTTCAGTTAGTGTAATACAAAGCAAGTTACTTCAAGCGTTTAAGCAGCAGGCAGAGGGAGTTGGTGGGGAGGGTTAGTGATTGGCTTGCTTAGGAACTTAACTGTGACTTTCGTGGGTCCCACTTCCCTCTACATATTCAAGCATTATACCTCTCTATGTTCAGAAAGAAAAGTCAGTAATAGATTCTTAGTGAGTGCTACAGAGAGAAAAAGCCTTTTGCAGGTCTTGGGCTTGCCCTTTCTGGACTGTGGAGAGTACCTTGCATAGGCAATGCGCAGTACAACTCCATGTTTCATTAAGGAGCTTCCTAGAGTTGTTAATTTGGGTGATGCTGATGACTAGTGAAGCCCCACTGGTCTGCAATTGTGGAAGAAACCAGTCTTTTTCCTGATTGATTTTGTCATTTGTGTTTCAGCTGCCTCATATACAGATAGCTCTGATGATGAGACGTCCCCCAGGGACAAGCAGCAAAAGAACTCTAAGGGAAGTAGTGACTTCTGTGTCAAGAACATCAAACAAGCAGAGTTTGGACGCAGAGAAATTGAAATTGCTGAGCAAGGTAAAGAAATAAATGCCCTTTCATTTGTCTGTGTCATTGTGTTGTGTTAATACTCCTGGGTCAGCTGGCTTGTCAAATTTCAGTGCAATACTAAACTACATTCTCATTTATTAATCTATCTGAGATCAGTGCCTTTCTGGAACCTAGGCTGACCTTGAACTCAAGACAATTCTCTTGTCTCAGCCTCCCAAGTGCTGAGATTATAGATGTGAGTCTTTGTGTCCACCTCCAGAAGAACACTTCAAAGAATCTGAGCTTGGGGAACCCTTTGGGGAGGGAGTGAAGTCCGATAGTTCTGGAGGAACCCCCTGGATAAGGATTGGCATATAAAAGATAAAACTGGGCAGCGTTTGTCTCTGAAGGCCTCTCAGAGAACATTCAGGAATACTATCTAACAGAAGCCAACCAAGGGAACTTAAATGAGTATTTTTTTTATGTTTTTTTCTTTCATCTCTTATTTCCTCTGTTTAATATTCTGTGTTTGTATTGGACCTTTTCAGAGATGCCTGCCTTGATGGCTTTAAGGAAGAGAGCCCAAGGAGAAAAGCCTTTGGCTGGAGCCAAAATCGTGGGTTGTACGCACATCACTGCTCAGACGGCTGTGAGTCCCTTTCCTCTTAATAACAGTTCATAATTGCACCAGTTATTGAATGCTTGCAACCTGCCAGCACCAGGCTAACAATATTACTTCATTAATCTACATAATGCTATGTAGGCAGGTATTCCTTTTTCCATTTTATAAACAAGGAAACAGAGGCTCAGAATGCTTAAGTAATTTGTCCAGGGTTGTACAGCCAGGAAGGCACAGCTAAGCTTGAGCATGAGTATGCAAGTGAGCATGTGAGTGCTTTCTCCCTGTCTCCTTCTTCTTCCCCATCACCCTTCCCAGTGTCCTCTCTCTGAGGCTGTGTACGTGAGAGCATATAGATCTGGCTTCAGCAGCAAATAAGAGAAAACTGGTCAACCTGTCCTCAACATACAGGAACTTACTACATTAACTACATTATGTTGTCAAAATTCCATCTGGAAGGCAGGCTGTGGCCTGGAGTTGAGGAGTAATTTTACCTCCTTGAGATTTTTTTTTTTTTGAACTGTCTCCACAGTTTGCCTACTTCATACAGGCTGACAGAAAGGTGCTTACAGCTACTTAGTTACCATGAACACTATGGAAAGGAAGGACTGTTTCTTCTGCTCTCCTCAAAGGAAGGAAACCTTTGCTGAGGTCCTGCAGGATACTCCAGCCTGTCACCCTGAGCAGGACTGGTTACATGCCCTTGCTGTACTAGTTCTAAGAAGGGACTAGAATCCTCATATTGGCTGAGACCAGAGATTCCTACACTCAGTAGAGTTATATCTTCTATTTATAAGCAAGGTACTTTCAGTGCCCCTGAATTATTCCAAAGTAGAATTTAGATATACCATAATATATATGTTATATGAAAAATTTAATTTTAATGTAAAACCAGAACTATAATAGGGAAAAAATAAAAAGAAAGTAATTTATAATAAAAATATATTTCAATATATAAATGCTTAAGCAACACTGTGATAGACTAGTCTGATGTCTGTTCTAACTAATATAGATGGAAATGTGGGGTTATCTTATGTGAATGGGTGTTTTGCTTGTGAGTATGTAGGTGCGCCACATGCTGTGGTGCCTCCAGAGGCCAGAAGAGAACACTAGACACTCTAGAAATGGGATTGCAGACTGTGGGTGCTGAGACCCAAACTCTGCTCTCAGCTGCTGAGCCATCTCTCCAGCTCCTGTGTTTTGCAATTTATTTTGTTTGTTTGTTTGTTTGAAGCAGTATCTCATGTAGCCTGTATTGGTCTCTAACTTGATATTGTAGCTAAATCTAGTTTTGAATTTTTTTATCCTTCTGTCTCCCAAGTGCTGGAATTATGAGCATGCATCACCATGGCTGGCTGGCAATTTGGCATTATGTCCAGGGCATTAGAACAACATTTTCAATTGATTTTATAAAAGAAAAAAGCAACTCTTTCCAACTCCTCAACAACCACAGTGAAAAGTCAGCATTCTCTCTTCACTGATAAAATTGTTGCATTCCTAGAAGGACTGTTACCGAAACTATAAAAGATACTTTTTCAGTACTTAAGGTGGAATTAGTCTCCAAGACCAAATAATTTTAAGTTAGGGTTTTCACCCACATGAACTTTTATTGGGACAAATAAATACTGGGACAAATAGTATCTGAATTCCCTGAGACTGCTGAGTTAAATGTCTCTGAGGAAAAGAATACCCTGAATTCCTAAAATTAATACAATAAATTAAAAAGTAATTTCTTCTTGGGGCTACAGACTAATGAATTGAGGCAAAATATACTTAAAACCTTCCCTAGGCCTCTCACCTGGGAACTCAGTGTGGTCACTTAAAATAGGAAGTTGCTTACTTACTGGCTCATGTTGCTGAGTTATATCTAGTTTGTTTTAGACTAGCTAAACATTACCGCCCTTCGGACCTCCCTCTCTATTTTTCTGAATTATTATTATTAATTTATCAACTTAATGTCATTTTATTATTTCTACCCTAAACTTTTTTCTTTATCCTTACTGGAGTCTTTTTTCCTTTTGTTTTTGATCTCTGCAATTTTTATAATTAGGTTTGTGTTAATTATATAATATTCTAATATTACCTCTATATAGTATAGAAATATAAAGACTGAGGGCTAGAGATGTAGCTTACTTAATGGGGCGCCTGCCTAACACCACAGAACCCAACATGGTAGTGCATGCCTGTGATCCCAGCTCCAGGACAGCTGGCAAGAAGAATACAAGTTCAGAGTTATCCTCCACTACATAGTGAACTAGCTTGTGGCCAACCCGGGCTATTGGGTTACACAAGACCCAGCCCCTCCCAAAAGAAACAAGGAGGGAAGGAGGAGGCTCCTATGCCCGTTCTAGTATGTAGTTAATTGTTTCTTAGTTAGGTCTTCTAACCTAATTTCATTGCTATTGCTACTAAATTATAATAAAATTAAAGTTGAAGAACTGGAGAGGTATGGCTCAGCAGTTAAGAGTGTTTGCTACTCTTGCAAAAGACAAGTCTGTTTCTCAGCAGCACCCACGTTGGAGGCTCACAATAGCCTGTAACTCCAGTTTCAGAGTATCGAACACCATCTTCAGGCTTAGCAACAAAGGAATTTACCTCAGAGCAATCTTGCTGGTACCTTGTTTTTAATTTTTTAGATGGCCTCCCTATGTATGTAACCCAAAGTAGCCTGGAATTGTCTGTGTATCCCAGGCTATCCTTAAGCTAACCATCTTCCTGCCTCCAGAAAGCAAGATTATAAGTATATACCACACCACACTTGGAAATTGTTGAATGCATGTTCTTAGTCTCATTATAGATGAAAGTTGTGCTGGAGTTTATTTGACATTCTTTCAGCATTTTTTCCATGCCTAACTCACTGCTTCCTGATCTTATTTAATAAGTTATAATCTATTATTTTCAATATTTTGATGCTTATTTTATCCTGTTTGGCCAAAAGAAGCTCCAAATGTGGCTTCTGTGGCTTACTTTTAAAAATTGTTTAAATCAATATGTCTCTGTCTCTGTCTCCCTCCCTCTCCCTCTCCCTCTCTCTCTCCCTCTCCCTCTCCCTCTCCCCCTCTCCCTCCCTCTGTCTCTCCCTCTCTCTCTCCCTCTCCCTCTCCGTCTCCCCCTCTCCCTCCCTCTGTCTCTCCCTCTCCCTCTCCCTCTCCCTCTCCCCCTCTCCCTCCCTCTGTCTCTCCCTCTCCCTCTCCCTCTCCCTCTCCCCCTCTCCCTCCCTCTGTCTCTCCCTCTCCCTCTCCCTCTCCCTCTCCCCCTCTCCCTCCCTCTGTCTCTCCCTCTCCCTCTCCCTCTCCCTCTCCCCCTCTCCCTCCCTCT